ATATATAGTTCTCCGCTTGCACCTACGGCGAGTGAACGTGTGTTAGACAACACGCACGTCCGCGCACGCAGGAATGGAGAACGCACCTGTCACGTAACTTTTCTTCACGGGGCGTTTCACCTTCTTTCCACCGCATCTAAATGACTTTCGGTCCGTACGATTCTGACCGTTTGAGTCTTTATGGCTGCTTCGAGCCTTCAGCGTAGGTCGTTTGTAACATAGCCATTTCCTTTTGGCCCACCGGTCCTTTGTTTAATTCGGCCGAGGGAGAACGATTCGTCGAAGAAGAGAACCGTGCCAATGACCGTTAGAGAGTAGGTCGTACGTGTAACGAAATGTTACGTGCTTTTACGCAAGCTACAGTTAATTTACGTACCGTTCGATTGTCTGATGGTTACCCAAATAAATAAACTGTGGATCGTGAAAGAAATCTATGCGTGTTATTATGGAAACGATTCAAGTAAAATTCCAATTTAAAGAAATGTAAATGTAAATAGCGATCGTTCGTCGTCAAGAAACGAGGTTTTTCGGTTAAGCTTCAACGGCGGAGGTTATGATAAGTAGGATAGTTAAACGAGCTAAGCATTTAATGACACGCTGTGTTGCGAATGTAATACGTGAGCACGGATTCCTGCAAACGTGTCTACTAGATGAATCACTTTATCGCGAAGTAAGACGAATCATCAGGAAACTTGTTACGTATTTCCTCTACTATTTGTTGCTCGTATTGACACTGGTTACGAAATTCTATTTGCCGGAGTATTTATCTACCATTTTATGTATTTATTTATTCAAATTTTGCCATTACTCATAGCGTAATGAAGTGAGAAGTAAAAATATTCATTCCGTAGAATCTTGCCGTAAAACAGTAAATGAAAGAGCAAAATCTTTTTTATTGTGTTTCGTTTAATATTCCATTTGAAACTGAAACAAAATCTAAAGGAATGAATGTCTGTGGAAACTGAAAAATCAAATAACATGAAACTTCCATGCGACAGAAATTGTATATATTATAAGTATAAAAGAATGTGTGGTACGTAGAGTCTCTCTCTCTCTCTCTCTCTCTCTCTCTTTCTCTCTCTCTCTAGTTTCATCAGAAGCGTAGCAATTAGGTCGTCATTTGTTCTACTCCGAACGACATACCCTACGTTCTTCTGAAATAAATTTCACTATATAGCAGAATACCGCATAGTTATATGCACGATATTAATTAAACCGACAAATTCTTTGTTATCATGAAGCAGATTATACGTTACACTAGTGAACCATATTTTTAGCTGCTCCGAAGCCGTTATCAGCACATCAATAATAACCGTGCTTTTAAAATTAGATAAGGTGGTTTTCGGAATTTATCGATATATTGTACATAATGTTATACCTATTGAATATATATTTAATTATATATTGAATATATATTTAATTATATATTGATTTTCTAACAAACTCTGCTTCTATTTTTTACGTGTGATTTTCGATTTTCAAAATAACGTAAATAGCATAGTAACATTATTATTTTCCGCTCAATTCGCAGGCTCATTGTCTAGATAAAATCTGCTTCTTTGACTCGGTAATTTTCGTTGAAATTACTCAGAAGAGCGATGAGGTCTCTGGCCGATTAACTATCTCTGCTATTGGTATGTGTGGGCTACGAAACTGGATTATCTAAACCTTGAAACGATCTGTACATATATCGTATATATTAAATCAGATATTCGTTATGAACGTGTGGCAGTTCGACGTAAAAGATAAATGCTCTGCAGAACTTTATCCTTGGACCGATGATTCGACTCATCGATCAACGTTGACTCACTGACTCTTAGAATCGAGATGCATTTTTCTTGCAAGAAAATGTGGTCGTATCGTGAAAGAATCGAGAATGTGGACGCAGATGGAATAATTTGCATCGTGGCTATTGTGGTTTCCGGTACTTTAGACGCTCAGATATTCAGCCAACAAACAAGATTTCGTGAAGCTCAACGATTTATACAGATCGTTTAAAAAAAAAAAAAACGTGTAAAATCTGATTTTGAAAAACAAAGGAAACAAATCCGATTTTACATATCGAAACGGAATTCTACGGGATCTGCACTGCTCGTGAATAAGAGCGGAAAACTATCTTTAGCATTTTCGATTGCGTCATTTGCATCGACCTTTCTTTACAGCTCAAGGTAAGCACGAGTTAAGTTCGAGTCGCACAGAGGGAAAGGCATTTCGTGTAAATGTGACCTTAAACTTTCCGTGTATACGAGGCGTATCCCTCGACGCGTTCCACGATGCCATGCACGTGGCCAAGATTATAATTCGCCAAGGCGGATAATTTCCACCTTGACTTTCCACGCGTCAGGTAATTAATTTTCGATCGTTTTTGTTTCGCTGGGGTCTGACGCGAGAGAAAACGTTTTTCCGCTAAAGATATGTCCTCGTCGCTGTCGTAGTGACCGGATTTATTAAACAAATACTTCGTCACGCGAAACTTTCGTCCCGTGTTTCCTGCTCTTACTTACTGATAATAAACTTCATAGAGAGTAATTATGATAACAGTGTATTAATTAGTACACGACTTTCTCCACCTCCTCTATCTCTATTAGCTTTATTGAGTGACTGATTTAATCCAATGCTTCGAAAAACGGCGAAGCCACGGTGAAATGTTTCTTAAAAGGAAGAATATAAAAAGGAGGAAGGAAAACTTAATGCCGAAATAACAATGTTATTCAATGAAATTATTCATAAATGTTAAATGCATTGTAGTAATCGCAACAATATCCTTGAATTATATAAGCAAGAATTATTAGAGACAGCTCGAGCAATGAGCGGCTACTTTTATTCGAGTCGTTCTGTTACGATGAACAACTAAAGCTCGGTGTTGCTTGATACCGAGCGTTATTCATAACCCTAGATCGATAAATACCAAACGCTCGCTACGTTTTATACCCACTTCCAGGGAAAGTATCCGTTTCGTTTTACTTTATACTGACATCGAGAAAAATAATATAACCGCGGGAAAAGCAGGCGGGGGTGGTCTATTTTGCATGGTAATCGAATTCAAACAAGATACCATCCGACCACTAGAAAATTTATAAACCATCAAGGGAAAATGTCCTGACCCTGAGCGTCACGCCCTAACCAGGATAACAAGCTTCTTCGTAGTAACAAAAGTTTTCATTGAAAAGTTTATATAGAAATTCCCATTGCCGGTGCAGCTTGTCCTGCGACGTCCATGTATTGAAACAACCGGTTTCGACAGTTTCGAGATCATTGGACGTAACGATGTTCGAGAAGAGCACGATAAACGCGTCACAATTACATCATATATATTTAGTAAAAACGACAAAAAATTTTATCGACGATGATTGTAACGCAAATATTTCATACGGAGTTATCGCGTATCGATCGCAGTTGAATGAGTACGAACGAGTGGAAAAGTAAATTTGTAAGGGACATGAAGGTTATGACTAAAACTAAAAACAAAAAGAATGTTAAAGCGAGTCGTAAATCACATCGGGAGAAATACAGTAAACATACAGAAGTACAGAAAAAATATCTACGCTACAGATCACAAGTTTACAACACCGTACCATGGTTCCTGGTTATACGGATAAAGAAATTCTAACAACAAAAACATTCAATAGTAGGTAAATTTAGAAGGCCGATGTCGTTATCACGGGAAGATTACGGATGTGTGAAGTAGTGCATCATCGATGATAAATCTTCCATTACCGCGATATAATAATTCACACACGACGTTCCCCTCGTTTAGATAAGTGCTCAATAATTTCTTCGAATCTCCAATTTCTCAATCTCTTCCCTTCATTCCTGAAGAGTACGATCTATTTTAGAAAGTAATCCCAAGATATGTTATCAGTTACGAACGTGTCGAAGTTACAAGAAGGAAGACAGTCACTTCTTTTACGGCCTTTCAAGCAGAACATTTCAAGAAGGACCCGAATAACTTTCGACTTTCTAAGCTACGTATTTCAGTGGGCCGATAGCGTTTTCATTCACGTTTACTTTACTATTAATACGACCGTGATCTTGTTGACCATCGTTTGACCTTAACAATGATCGTACAAATTATCGCCAACCAGACCGGAGAAGCTAACGAACGTTGAAATATACGCTTCTGCAACACTTTCTCAGCTATAATTCATCATTACGTACTGGTTATAATTTGGTTAATCGTATTTTCCAGCGCGATGTGACGAAACCAAATATCAGTCTGGCAGCAGTCTGTCTCGCTGACTAATCGACCATGATTTCAACAAGGATCGGCCACGTTCGTGATCAATAGACTCATCATTAACATTATACAACATTTACCCGTCAATATCAATCCGTCATATTTCATCGTCGATTATATGGCGTCTCTATGAACTAATTTTGAAATTCCATCGATTTATTACTTCTTACCGTGGCAACGACTGTACTCCGTTTCATCGTATTTTGCGGTACGTTCCACGTGAACATGGCTTTTAAATAAGAATCATCGCCATTTCTTGCACGCCATTTCAACAAAGCGAGATTTCAAACCGTTCGATAGATCGATTGGAAAAAATGGCCGCTAGAATCGTGCGCTACTGTCATGGTCAAAAAACCGTTACACGTACGTCACTATGATGTTGCCCCAGCAGTCGGGGCAAGCACGCGATTACAGATTTCGCAAACTTACGTGGGAAGCGTAAAAGATAGAGAAGGAAAATACAGATGTTACTTTTGTCGCACCTTTAACAGCCGTAGTACACAACAGGCCGATGAGGCAGACCCAGACGATCGTCATCTTGAAATGGCTCGTTGATTCCATACACATCACAAAAAAAAAGCACTGTCTAAACTTCCTTTAGAAACGAACTGCTGGTGATTCGAGCGGCGGGTTCGAACCGGACGTTGCACAAAACTCTACAACGAAACTGACGCGAGCGCGTGTGTAAATCACGAGGATGAAACGAGGTAAGAACGAGAGACGTGCGACGTCAATTCGAATATAAGTATCCGACTCGACGTGAGTGCCAACCAGATAGCTCGACGCGCGAGAACCGTCTGCCGCGCGCTTTGCTTTCGGCCCACTTCGTGAGACATCGGCAGCAGCCGAGATCGCCCGAACGCCCCGATCCCCCGATAGCGCCGTTTGATATCGTCCACGGTGTACCTACTTTCGTACTTTCGTGCCTAACCTACGTACACACGCACTTCACCGTACAGTTGCTATTATGTGTTTATTACATGTGTACACGTTCCTATCCACGATTTTCTACCAAGAGAATGGACTTGGAAATGTATGTGTTGTTCTCTCTTTCTTTTTTTAGTATTTCTACGTTCCCGATTTTGACGGTTACGCGCGTATTTTAACGACGTTTTTTGACGTTTTTTTAGGATTAGTGAATCTCAACAAACATGTTTGTGCTTCATTTCAATGGCAGTCTTTTGTTAATGACAAGTCGGCTGTGACTTTTGTAATTACTAATTGAGGCAATTATCCTTTCGCTGTTGCACAACTGTAGGTTATGTAATTTTTACAATTTTTAAGAAGACGGTTCTCGAGTTTAAAGAGGTAAGAATGAATTAATGTAGAGTGGGATATCAAAGTAAGTATAAAATTATTTTATTCAATATTGGAGTATTCTCAATCAGTATTTTATTGGAATTTTTATTGTATTGTTTAGTATAAATAAAGATACCGCATATAAAGCATATCGCATCTGACGCCATGTTTTTATCTACGTATGACACTTTCGTGTCAAGTCAACAAATCGATATATCGCAAGTCAACTTTTGAAGAAAGAGGATAAATAGTTGAATATTCGAATAATAAGTGGAAGTAAGTGTTTTGGAAGTAGATACGTATCTACTATAGCACGCTCATAGCTTGTTCATCGATAGTGTCATACTTTCATTGACCTTTTCATCTATTGCGCGTTTGTTTCTTTCCATACCGCGGATACAAATATGTATTTAATTCCTACCTAACCTAATTCTTTTTGATGGTACGATAAGTTCTGTGAAAGTTTTACAAATCGTAAGCAGTATGAAAGATCATGGCATTCAATAAAAACTGTGATTTGTATCGTATACATTTACGGTTACTAGAAAGTTTTTATTTTGGTAAAAGTTTCATGTTCAAGAATTATTAGCCACGATTAAGACAAAAAAGTAAGAACTAGTTTCACGGTCTGAAGGTTATATGGTCGAGGAACAAATTATTGGTAAGAAAAGATATATAGACATGAATTTAGTTTCTAATTGCTAGCAAATTTTTAGATAAAAACTTATACTTATTCTATACTTACAAAACATGATATTAAGAAGTATAATTTAGAAGAAAATAAAACTATGATCCATAGGTGTACGTGATAGGCCTAATAAAGAAGTTATCGTGATACCAGAGGAAAAGGGGGGAAAAAAAAGAAACCAAAACCTATGTCAAGATAGAAAGGATCGTACGCAGATAGGTACGATATGGTATAACGGGCGATACTGTTGAACCAGATGCAACCACGAAACGTGCAACTGTATCGCTATGTGCATTATGACAATGCTTTCCTATCGATGTTTACCCGACGATAACGTTGCTAGGTCTTACGAATACGATTCTACATGATGGCGTACGTGACCGATATGTCGAAGGCGTGCCGTCTGGGACTACAGAAGCTGCAACAGCACATACCAAGGAGACGTACTAAGAACCGTAGTTCCGGAATTTATCAGGTAAGATAGTATCCACTTCCAGCGTACACGATACATACATGTTATATGGATGAAAATACAGGTCCCAGCGCGTACACTTTTAACTGGCGCACTTAAAAGTTTTACGTTCCTTTTACAATGAGTTTTAGCACGAAATGTAAATTCATTTCCTTTCCTTTAAAGTTCCACTTGAGATAGATAGCAATTTAAAGTTTTGCGGCACGTGTAGGGGAACATAGAGAAATTTTCAGTCGAAATCTCATTTTGAATTCCATTACCTTCCTTTTTTCCTCCACTTTAAAATTTAATTCCTTCGAGGATTTGTTAGAGTCAATGTTTAACCATTAAAAGATCAATAGCAATCAGTGGTAATTCGGTTAGGCAAACTAGTAAATCGTTACAAACCGTTAGCAAAGTTTTTACATTTGTTTCTCTTTCGGAACGTGAAATTAGGTTTATCGTACGGTTGAATTATAACGAACGGTGATCATGTTAACGTTAACGTTATCGTTAAAGTAGTTATGAATAGTAAGATCTTTAAAGTGAAGTTCTAGTTTGCGGTCAAGCAATCTCCGTACCAGACCATCGTTTCTGCATCACGATAGAGGAACACTTCTATGGATTCAGCTAATCGAGTTGGCAACTATTGTGTAGGCACACACGTACATATAATCATGTTACCAGCAGGCAGTCGAACCCGTTGCCGTCGTCCAAAACGACCATACGAATAGCAACATGTAATAATACTTTTATTGCATGTGCATGTTATAATATAAGCAAGGTGGAACCCTACGTGGGAACCGTGATTATTTTACTAATAAATGAAGAAATTTTTTCCTTATGCTATAAGGTTTATAGTCTTGAAACAAATGTTTGCTTATTATAATGTTGTACGTGTGTGTGCGCACGTTAAAATGCTCAAGTGAAATCTAAATTACATTGGTCTATCAATATCCTTTGTGATGAATATGGCGAAGCAAAATTTAGAGTCACTAATTTTTTCTTTGATTAATTACTGGTAACTATTATCGCTGAAATGTGGATTAACAATAAGAAACGAGAAATGCTCGTGTAACTATGATGTCTATCGATTATTCGAACATGTATCAAAACATTTTCAATTACTCTTTATGCGTGAAAAAATATCCGACGTCAGAAATTTCTGTATAACATATTGCGCAGTGTTTTTTTCTATTAGCACCGAATTTGTTGCTGCTGTAATCAACTTTACTTGTTCAATCAATTTATATGATATGAATGCTTAGCCATTGCTTTGATTAGCGGAATCCTTTCAATTTAGTCGAGCGAGCAATCGTAGACCGTTCTGAAGCTGATTTGATATAAATACATTCAGTACACATTTATGCTAATATCGTGGTTATGATATACTATACCTATGTATAATAATTTTCAGTTAACTGCACCGTGATTAGAATTAATTACGATGTCAATGGCCGCGTTATAAAATCTAGACAGCGTGGGGATAGAGCACGGAAGATAAATTAACACTGGTTGTTCGTTGAGCGATCAAATTTGGTTATTGGCGGCCGTAACTTTTTTTTAACCGTATGTATTTTTTACGGTGCGCGTGTATCTACTTCGATTACATCGACTATCGTGGAGTTATTCTCACGATGGGAACCGTAAAAGCTTAAAAATTGTGTGTTGCGGGACATTGACAATTTTACCAACACGTTTTAAAAGTTGCATGCATACACGCGTATCTGTGTACACACATAGCTGTATATCTGTATATCGGTCTTAAAAAGTTATTGAGGCTGGGATTACGGGTGTAAAAAAGTTGGGAGCAAATACTTTACTCTTCAATGTAGGCATTTCCTCATACAAGCGTACACAGCTTACAAAATACTCGGTCTTTCACTAACGATATTGCCCTTTTTTTTTTATACAAAGTAGCCGTTACTAGAAAAGAAGAAAAATATTTTATGCCTCTTAAGTTAGTTTAGCAAATAATTGAAGAGCATAAAGTCACAGCTCTTAACATCTAATAGGTGTGTTACCTGAGAAGTTAGTTCTAATGAGAATATGTATGCGATGCTATTAAGAATATTAGCATTTATCATCATACTACGAGTAAGAACATTACGCAAAAATAGGTTAACTGTTTCCAGGCTGTTTTAACTGGATTACTATTATGCTCTTTACACGGTAGACGATTTCAGAATTATAGTTAATACCGCTTTCGTGGCTCTGTTTATTCCTTTATCTGTAGCTGAGAAAAAGTTCGTGTTCGTTTGTTAGATATTTAACGGGAAACATTGACTGAAATAAATTAAAATTGCTGGAAATTTGAAATTAATATCGCCAAAAATTGTCCACCTCGTTCCGTTTTGAAAAAACTACATTGTTAACGGAATTCATAAAAAAAACAGTTTCACAATTAGAAAACAATTTACCAAGTTCCCCTTAAATCTTAAATTGGGAGAAAAAATTCGCACTGCGTAAAAATCTGTGTTAAAAAAAAAAATCGTTGAACGCAGATTTTAACATGTATCGGTTACATCAGTAACGGGCAAATAATGGCGATACGTGAATCGATAAAAATCGGGCTATTTCACCGCCAAACGGGTATCACTGGCTTAAATTCGTACTACAACACTTCTATCGCGATTTAATTTAAACCAAATTAAATATCGAATACACATGAATTACAAGCGTGCATTAATGTGCTCGTTCGGACGTTTCAATCTCGCTTCCGTGTTCATTTAATTCTCTGTTCTCTGAATTTATATCTTAGCGACGACAATGGTTTTTGTACATACAGCTAGACGAGCATACAAAATCATTGATCGATACATAATAGATACATAATAGAATTGATCGTTGATGGTTATTTCTGGTTATTTGGTTATCTTTTGTCATTCTGTTGTAAGTAATATTAAATTATTTCTTGTGCTTGCGAGAGCCAATAAGTTCCGTTTTGAGCTCATATGGACATTCTACGTATACACGAAGAGGCGTTTAATATTGCCCAGTGTGTGCATAAATCGCGAATTGCTGCCCTCTGAGTTAGTAGCAGCGGATGTAGATATTAAAATATCCTGGATACCTATCGTGCACGTATAGGTATATATTACTCGAAACTCAAGGTTTTAGTTTCCTACGGATTAAACGCTTGGTATTCGTCGGGAAATTGTATGTACATACATACATAGAAGGAAAGAAAGCAGCATAATTCACGAATTCCGACTCGTATTATAATATGCTTTTTTCATTTGCAACAGGACTGCATTTTTCTTCTCTCTTCCTTTTTTTTCTTTTTTTCATCTAATCGAATAATTAAGTTTCGCAAATTTTACATAGATATCGTTCGTTTCGGCCTATCGGAAATTGGGAAGCATAATTAGATTACATGCCTGTACTAAATTAAACCTACAAATCATGGAAGAATCGATCCACCTATTCGCGTATAATCTCCAGTGATTAAGAACCGGATATACGTAGATATTACTAGGGGATTCTCGCGTCCGCTCCGCATAATTTCGAGCTGTTTATTGTCTCTAAACCAACGATCAAATAAACCCTAACAAATCTTTCGATATTACGTTCGATAAAGATTTCTAACTTCATGTGATGTCAGTATCACTGAATTTAACACGAATTTGTCTAAACAAATATAAAACTCGATAAATTGGAATTAGTGAAACGAGAGGATGGACAAGTTAAGAACATGGGCGAGTGGACAGGGTGACGATGTTTTACCTGATGACGAATACGTTTATCCCCCCTGAAGCTCACAGACCCGTTAATTATTTCTAACTAGTTAGCCGGTGCCATAGTTGATTGATGCAACCACAAACACTGAATTAGAGTTCTCGGCGTACGCTGACCACCGTGCGGAAATTGCATTTCGATGACAAGCGCAAAATATTAATGGGTGATACGCGGCATCGCGTCGTTATGTAATACCTGAGTACTTCGGCGTGGTCCTCTGTAGGGCTAGAAATTGGGCGCAATTGTGGAATAATTGTGCACAATGGCGTCGCGAAAATATTAACGATTCAGTGAATACGGCCGCGTGTTTGCACGTCGTCGAAGCACGACGTGAGCCTGGCCGGTGAAGCGAGAATCATGAATGTCAGCAACAGGCAAAATGTATGCGTTTTGCAAATCATAGATCGTCGATGCTTGTGATAAAATTGCATGCTGCTAATCAACGATCGTTAACGTTGAGCATCGTTGAACGATCAATATGATTAAATATATATCTGCTATTTATTATTTGTTGTTACGGCGCGGTAAAACGAATTTCTGCCAACGATATTTTAAATCGTTCGATTACGTGGCTCGATGGAAATTAAAAGTCTTCCATTCAACGTTCGACAGCTATTTCTCGTCAAGTGTCTATCAATTGTGTCCTGATTCGTTGAAATCCAGCCGCGATACGTGCAAAAACGTAGCAACGGCCGCGAAACTTACACACGTCAAAAGGGAACATTAACTGCACTCACTTTAAAAGGATACCAGTCCACACAGTCGGACGATCGATCCACTCCTGTGTATCGTATGGGCATAATCGCATTTGCATGCTGTACTTTGATATAGCGCGCCCGTAAAATCCTCTTTCGAATGTTCAATGAATAGTGCTATTACTGCTGCGCATCGCGATCTCATTCGTCAAATGCGTACGAAATCGTTAGTTCTCGCTTGTACGGACAAATTTTTAGGGACACATTGTCGTAACTCCGATTGGCGACACGTAGCTAGCTGTTGCCAAAATTCGATCGTGAAATTTACACAACCGATAAATTTCGTTCTTCGCGCCCCTCTTGCCCTCCTCTGCTGTTGAATTTCCGCAGTTAGTTGAAAGTTTCGTTTAGAGAGGCAATCAAGGAAAAAGAAGCCGGGTGGAGAGGTCGAGAAGCACGTATCGTGGATAAGTTTGTAACAACTTCGGGGATCAAGCTCATGTCAGATAATATGACGAATGTTGCCGGTTAAAACTCGAGATCGTGCATCAAGCGGATTACACATCGAAGAATGTCAGAAGGTTACGCCAG